GGGCTTTGCAGTTTGGGGAAGGAGGATAAGAGAAAGAAGATGTGGGATGAGTCCCTTCCAGAGTCTGTGCCGGTTTGCTGCTGAACAGTGCCCATAACACTGGAGGACATGCTGCAGTATGGATGCAGAACTTGTTCTCCAGAGGCCTGCAGCCTGATTTTGGCACCACCATATGCTCTTCAGACAGGGCAAAGAGTGTGGCCATGGTGCTCTGTCTGTCTTCCCCTTGATCTCGGGGATGAGGCCATTGGGATGCACAGAATGAGGCTAAGCCAGGCTGCTGGGCTCTGGCATCAAGATAACTACACCAAAGCTCAGCTGAAGGATCTTGTACCTTGGTGATCCATCTGGGCTGTTTAGGGAGACAGGAAAGAGGATGGAGGCAGCATGGTGCTGCCCTGCTTCTTTCACCCCCAGGGGTGATGACCCTCTTAATGTGTGCACTGGCACTGAGGGACAAGGAGGGATGAGCCCTATCCTGTTTAAAGTATTATAATCCTTTCAGATGGCATTAGCGCCTTGGCCAGTAACAGCTCTATAATTGTACCTCCTGCTTGCAGGGACCTTGTGCTTCAGCAAGACATTTAAATCTCATTTGTATAATGCCTGGTTGCAATTCCTGCGGAAAGATCACCCTCTGCCCCCAGTGCCCCCGAGCCGTGCCCAACATGCACAAGTGCTCCAGCCCTCCTCAGGCAAAGGAGCGACCAAGTGTAGTCAGGCAGCAACATGCCGCATGGCAGCCAAATTTCTAGAGTTTTTGGTTGTTTACTGGAGCTTTTGCTAGACTGATTTGTTGGGTTTTTTTATCCCCCCCCCCAACTCCTTTTTTTTTTTAATGTCTGAGTCCCAGGAAAGGCAGGACAGAGGCTCAGTGGAAAATGCTTGGTCAGGGACTATCTAAGGGATGACATTTTCCAGGGAAAGCTGGGTAGGATGGTAGCGAAGGTAGAGGCACATTTGGCCACTGCCAGACCTCCTTGGGGTCACCACTGCACCTGGCAAAACCCCTTTGCCTGGGCAAAGCCTGGTGCTTTCTGACAAACCCCATCAGCTCTGCCAGCTGCCAGCCTGGCTTGGATATGCTGCCTCCTGAAAGGATGCGCATGGTGCTGGCCCGATTTGCCTCTGTCTAATGGCATTGCTTAGGAGCCCCAAAAGGAAACCAGCTTTTATTTTAGTAAAGGCTTAAGTTCTCTATTTTAAAACAGTGCCATGAAAGAAGAAAGTGAATCAGAGTCTGCTTTTGGCTTGTGCTGCCCACTCCTTTTCTTCCTGGGCAGCTGTGGGCTAGTCATGGCATGACCTGCCTGTCCCCAGTCACCACTGGCTCTGCGTGGGTCAAGTCTTTCACCCCAAATGCCCTTTCCCTGCTGGACCACCTCGCCTCAGTCAAAGTGCTGCTGTAATGCACCAGCCCCCTGCCTGGCATCCAGCCTGCTCTGTCCTCCTGTGCCGGCGAGGGGTGTTGGGGGCTGCCTGCGGGTGCAGGTGGGAGCGGGCAGAGCATCCTGTGGGGATGCTGCAGGCCCACAGCAGCAGCCGGCTGGGTCGCTCATTCCTCCTTCCCGCTCCAGCGATCCCTGCTGTACTGTAATCACACAATTATTATGCCATTAAAATGTCATATTCGCACGTAAACAAGGCATTAGCAGTCGCCAGAAAATTGTAGTTTTACTGCTAATGACCTGCTCTCCCCCCACAGCACCACTCCTTTTTTTTTTTTTTTGGTAATATTATTTTTTTCCCTTTTTTGATTCTGAGTCATGATTTAAGAAGTAGATGACAAATTGCATCTTTTCACTGAGAGGCTTTCGATCTTTAATGTACAGTTGCGGTGAAAAGCTTCCTCTGTGCTTGCTCTGGGGGTTTGCCATTTGCCCTTTGCTGGCGAGGCAGCGGGCAGTTTTGTGAGGGTGCCTTTAGTGGACAGTTTTGGGGTTGTGCTTTTAGCATGCTGGTGAAGGATGAGGCTCTTGACAAGCCCTGCTTTTGGCTGGGCCCTGACATGAGGCAGGATCTCCCCTCCTCAAGGAGTTTTGTCCATGTCTCCTTGGCTGGAGGGAGGGTCCCTCTCATTGATTCTCCCTGGGAACTCCCCCAGTGCAGTGTTGGAAGGGGCAGCACTTGTTTTCCAAGAGCGACTGGCTAGCTCGTGGATATTTTTTTCCTCTCTTTCCTGCAGACGCGTTGAGTCTCTCAAACTCCTTTAAGCATTGACTGTGTTTCATATAATTAATACCAGCCATTAAACTGCAATGTTGAAAGAGAAATTACCTAATTCCAAGAAAAAAAATGAAAATTTATTACTAGTACATGAGAGAAAATGAATATGAAACTTGGAGAGAAGAGCCCTGTAGAAGATAAATAGAAAGGCAAGTGGAGTATTGACTTGATCCTTTTCTAGTGCAGGGTAATTTGGCTTCTAAAGTGAGTTAGATCATAATAAATTAAATTTAGATTTCTCCACATCAGTTAAATAACTCCCGAGACAGAATTCTGGTGTGAGGAAGAGGTGATAATACATGACGGAAATATTATAATGAAGACCTTACCCAGTAACCCGTAACTGATGCGCTGTCCCTGGGTGAGCGGAGGGGATTTCTCCTTATGCTTTAACTTGCTTTCCTCATCCCTGACCAGGTGCCAAGAAACAGACAGGTCCCTGTGTGTGGTTCTGGGAGATCGTCTGTCTCCCACCGCTTGTGTAGCTGGGAGCTTTTCATCCGAGGACACTACCTTGCTTTCCTTCACCTCTTTATGCAGGCATTTTTTTGCAAAGGTCGAGGCATACGTGTCTAAACATCCCACTCCAATTTTGGTTACCCTGGGGGAGAGATCGGGATGGAAAGTGGAAGAACGCCCAGAAGATTTTGACGGGAGATGTGGATTGAAAGCAAATGGCCAAACACAGCTATCTACTTCTGGCTGAGAAAATTAGCCCAGTCCCTGGGCTTTTTCTGTATCTAGAGCTCTGTGGCCACATAGTGTTTATGATAAGTCTTTAGTCTCTATTTGACATCAATTTGCTCTTGATGTTAAATGTATATTTAGCTACCAATATTTAGGAATGACCCTACTAATAGTTTTTCTAGACCCAACAAGGAGAGCCTGGGTAATCTGAGTGGACTGATGTCTTTCAGGTGGAGATTCTACGAGGAATCTAGTTATTCACTGTGGTAAGAATCAAGAATGCAATTCTAGGGTGCAAGTTATATCCCCTTCCAGCTGGTCTAAGGCTATTTGGTTTGGTTTAATTGACATTAATGTATACATATATATACGCATAGTGCTATGTGGCTGCTTTTAAAAGCTACTTCTCTTCTTACTAAGTTTGATAAAACTAACTTTCACTTTTCTTCACAGCATTAAAATTTAGGGACTGCAACTCTCTGGCAGTTGTTTTAACGGTGCCAGGCCCCCCGGGGTCATCATGAAATCTTATAAACGTCAGGCTGTTGGTGTCTCTGAGATGCAGTCGGCTCACTTTCCCTGATCTTTTACTGCAGCAATAAATCATGTTTTGCAAATGCCTAAGAAAAAACATAAACAATATTTATCACACTGTGTACGTTGGTCCTCCTGAAAGCCTGCACGTGGGTTACATACATCCTTCTTGTAAACCTCCTGTGATGACCTTACTGGTTTCATAACTTTGTCCCAGCCTTGAATAACTTTATCCCAGTTATGAGTGGTGGCATGGGGGTTTCTTCTGATCTTCCTTGTGCTGGGGTAAGTGCTGGAGGAGCCCCTGAGAAAGCCATGGGGTCATAACAGAGGAAGATGAATACAACCCTATGTCTGGAAATGCTTGCATCCCTGTGCTCTGTCAGCCTTTTGGGGCTGCTTATGTCACTGTGATCCAGGGTCTTGTGGGGTGTTGGGGAAATGGAGGCATCCAGCTTGATCCTGCCACAGTTTACTTGCAGGAGCTGGGGCTCCCTCCTCCCCTTCCTGTGACTAGAGAAAATGTGCTGCCAGATGCAAGTAAAATCAATTACGGGATAAAAATGACCCGTTTCAAAAGCTTCATTTTGTGCTATTAGCAGGCAAAATCGGCTTTGAGATGATGTGAACTGAGGAGGGGGAAGAAAAAAGAAAAGAAGAAGAAAAGATCAATTATCGGATAAGATCACAATTTTCTTTAGGGCTGAGATGTCTGTAAATGTTTGCATCTCTCCGTGTTACATGTAGGCTGAGATCAAAGAGGTTGCACTGCTGTAACGATGAGATCTTATCGGTGCTGCATTGTGCTCACTGGCTCTGGCACCGCATGCTGAGGGATGCTTAAACCCCCCAACAGCACCACACTGCTGAGGGATGCTTAAATCCCCTGATGGCACCAAACCGCCAAGGGATGCTTAAGCCTCTGACAGCTGCTGGAGCTGTCAGGTAACCCCAAAATGCAGCTCTGCCATTCTTACGGGGGGAGGGTACCACATGGGCACGTGCTTGTCCCCTCTTCTCCATGCTGTAGGGCTGACGTCCTCGGTGGGAGACTTGTGGCAAAAAGAGACCAAAATCAGCTGGGAGGACCACAGCCCTGCTCTTCTAGGATCTATTCTGAAGCCAGCCCTGGGGCCAGGGTTCAGCTGTGCAGATGTGGAACTGTTGCTGTCTGATAGCCCTTTCTCTTCTGAAGGATTACAGGGCCGATGGGGCATGTGGCAAATGCCTTTGTTTTCTGACTGGAGAGAAATTAAAACCAAGCACCTTTGTGCTTTTATATTTCTTGAGACCATGCTGTTTGAGAGGGGTATCCACCAGAGATCTGAATTTGGTTTCAAATTAGTAATTTTAAATTCAAATTGACAGGCTGTTTCAAAACCTAGGAAAAAAACCCTAAAACCTGAAGAGCTAATAAGGCTCCTTGTTAGCCTGCTCTTGTGATGCTTGCCCATGTCTGACTGACCTCCGGTGGGGCTCGGGAGGACCTCTGGAGGGGGTCAGGTGTCCTCTGGTCTCTCCTCTCTCTAATGGGGCTGACTTTGTGCGCGCAGGACTTGGACGTGGACTGGGACGACCTTTGGGATCAGTTTGAAGAGCGGAGGTACCTGAGTGCCCGGAGGTGGAAGGGCGGCGAGGACCCATACCGGCTCCACGCCTTTAACCAGCGGGAGAGCGAGAGGATCCCCAGTGACCGCGCCGTCCGTGACACCCGCAATCACAGGTTCTGCCTCCCCCGATTCCTCCTGGTCTTCCTCACAAAACTTCATTTTATGGGTAGACAGTCACATTCCTCTTCAGGGCCATGGTTTTGGGATGCTAGGTGGGTCTGGGCTTTTCACCCACTCCCAGTGAGTGTGTTTGGGATTGGTTCTGCCTGGGTTGTATTTTTAGGATTGGATTTTTCACTTTAATTGATTTCTTGGCATGTCTGGCAGTACTAAACCTATTAATTAAATTACTCGAGGACCATAGGCAAAGAAAGGAAAAGCCTTTTTTTTCATCAGAAAAGTAACAGGTGTGTGAGAGTGCATTTCCGCAATGGGCAGAGTCTTCACTGGTGCTGGGAACTCTGGCTCTGTGGAGGATGCAATGAGATGGTGCAAGGGGTATAAAATAACTGTTGAGCACTTGTTTTTCTCTACAGAGAGAGGAGTTAATTTGGGGAATCAGGAACTGTTGCTGAGGGAGGGGTAGAAAAAGGTAACAGCTCTTTGGGTTAATAGCAGTTCCAGCACCATCAAGGTCAAAAATATCCTTTGGCTCCCAAAGGAACTATTGAGGTGGGCAGGGTGGACTGCAGCAAGGGTTGCCTTGCATGACCCACACTCCCTTTCTGCTGTCACTGTGGGAAGGGCAGTGTGGGAGCTTTGGTGCATCCTTGCTTGTCGTGAGCACAGCTGTAGCCTCCCTCCAGTAGCTTCTCCAAACTCATTGGGGAAAAGCTGCTCTTTGCAGCTGCAAGTTGTTGATGGTCAGCAGGGTTGTTAATGTGCCTGATGGGACGATGCTGGTAGAAAATACCCCAAGGTTCCCTCGATGTAGTTATACTCCTTGTCCTCTGAGGGCACAGTGTATGCCTGGCCCCCACCAGTGGTTCTCAGTCTGCAGCCAGTGCAAGTGCTTCCTAAGAAACTGTGCCTGGCATTATGTCCCACCCCACCAGCAGCAGCTGTCTTCTCCTACCTTCTCCTGGGAGCTCTTTGGAGGGAAGCCCTTCGCTGGTGGGAATCCTGGGTTGTGCCAGACCCAACCGTGGCATCTTGCTGCCTGTGCTGCTGAGGCTGCACCTTGCTCCCAAGTCAGAGCAACTCAACTCCAGGCATCTGACCCGACTCTGAATTTCCCCTATTCCAGTCCAGATGCAGCACTTGGGTTGAAATGCTGAAACAGCACCAGTTCTCCAGCCCTATAGCGAGCAATGTGCTTTTTTATTTATTTATTCTTTTAGCTCCTTTTTGTAGTGAGGACCAGATGCTCCTTTCTCTGGAGAGGAGCTGTCAGCCCTGACGGACGCCTGTTATAGCTGAGCAGAGAACGAGTGTGCTATTCCTGGAGAGAATTAATGCCAGGGATATTAACCATCTGCCCTATTAAAAGGGAAGATCGACTCGGCTGCCCCCTCACCGTACCCCTGCTGTGCGGTGGTAGCCACCTTGTTCCCGGGCGGGCGGATGCTATGCTGAGTGCTCCTGGAAAGAAAAGTTCTCATTAAGGAGGAAGCAAGGGCACAGCACGTGGGAGGGGCTGGGGCTAATTGCATTTGCTTCCAATTTCCTTAACCCGGTAATTGGATTCTGATTTATTGAATATGTCTGAACAATGCTGCGGATGATGCACCATTAGCCGAGCATTAGAGCAGCCATGGAGGAAATGGGGCTGCCGGGAGACGTGGGGGAGGCAGGTGCTGCTGGGGGGGATGGAGGAAGGAGAAGGGTCCAGACATAGTGATTGCCAGGGAGAGGAAAGTGTGGAGTTTGCAAAGCCATCTCTGGAAAGAAATCCTTGTTCATAGTGCAGGTGTCCAGGGAGCTGCTGCAGGTGATGCTCGGGCACTACCGTGCAACCTGGGAGTGGGTCCTGAATTGTGCAGAGGAGCTGGATGGGAATGCATGATATGCCCTTGAGCGGGGAGAAAGTGCTGGCGGCTGTGCAAGACGAACATGTAAAGAGAGTCCAGCCTGAGGTTGACTAGGAGAGGTCCCTCCTGCAAAGGAGAGAGCAGAGTACTACGGACTGGGCTACCATGAGAGATGGGAAACCCTGAAGGCTCACATTGTGTGACCTGCTGGAGG